TTGTCTCTGGGTGCATATTTCTCCGGATTAGGACAGGTTAGAAATTTGTCCATCATCTACCGGATTTAACTGTACTCTGATTGAACCTGAATTATTATATTTAGACACTGTTGAATATTGAGCTGGTCAACCAGCAAACCTGCTCCATCCTACCCCGCCCCCCCTCTCAACACCTCTTCTATCAAATATAATATGTTTAATTGGAAACCAACACATTTGTGTCCATATCTTTTCATATCATTTCTCAAAAGATCTGAAAAAAGTGAAGAAATTTAAAAAATTGTACATTTACTTTATTAAGACAGAAAACATTCTATGGATTACTGGAATGCCAGCAAAACTGTTTTAGAAACTATCATGACTGGCGATAGATCGTTTCAAAGGCCAAAAATCCGAAAAAAAGCTTGTTTAAGCCCGAATTTGTCTTACAGTCATTACGATGCAACCATAAGGAGGTAATATTCATTGATTTTTAGAATTATTGTTAAAAAAAACTGGGTTTTCTCATCGCCCTTTTTTAAATTGGGTCGCAGTTCTGGGATTTTTTAAGGGATATTCTTCACCCCCCCCCCCCCTGCTGTCCATCATGTATTCGTCCCACATGACATGTTTAACCCTGACTCTATCCTCTCTCCTGTCCGAGTACATCTCACAACATGGATCCGTTATATCACTAATACAACCTGTTATGATCTAATCACAATAAGAATTGACATGTTCTTAATCCGGGATCAACAGAGCATCAAGAGTTTCAGAGTTGCAAGTATCAGTAAGAGAGAAATATACATAGTATTTAAGTTTAGAAACCATAACATCTCGTTTTCATGATTTTGATCATCAATCCCAAATGTGTAAGATAAGTAACGTCTAATTTTAACAGCGAAAACTTTGACCGAGAAAATGTTTCTTTAGTTCTTAATAATTGTCTTCTGTCATCTATATACAAATTTGGCTTGTCTGTCTGTTTGTTTGTATCCAATAAACGTCAAAACGGCTGAACCGATCGGGCCCAAATTTTTTGTGGGACATCTAGGGACCCAGGGAAGGTTTATGAATGATTGAAATTTTAAATATTTGTCTCAATCAAAATTCGATCTTCATTAAATTTTTTTAAATTTTGAAAATCCACGAAATTTTTGTGAAAATCCGCGAATTATTTTTGTTTTGTTTTTACGATGTATACAAAGAGAACATTGTTCACAATTAATTTAGAAGATGGGCGCAAAGTGATTATAATATGAACTGAAATTAAAGCATGTCAATTTCGACACATTCATCAAAAAGGTTTAACTTTAAAATTTATAATATTGAACCAATTGATGATGAACAATTTAAATTTTCTAGCTTTTCCATTTTCTTCTATTTTTATTTTTCAATTTCGGATTTCAGCATCTACATATAGATATATATATATATATACGTTGAATATCTTTACAGATATTTCATTTTGATGAATTATCAGGGTAAACTTGTTGGATTACAGAAAAAGCTTTTATATTTTGACCTTGAAAATATGGACCCCTTTTTCAGATTTTATCCCCCCACCTTTATCTTGTTAAATAAATGAATAGACACATTTTCTTTAATAAAGAGAAAGATGACGAATAAGTTCCGTTCAATTTGGATAATGTTCCTAAATCCCTGATTTTACAGGAATTTAACATTATTTTCAATTTGTGTGAACGATCCATCAAATAGGTCTGAACTAGAGCTGAACTGCAGTGTATGGAGTCCGAACAATGCTTTATTATTCCTCGGCAGAGCTAGAGGTTCACAATGAGATATAGAATCCCGAGCTACCGTCTACCGTCTCAAGGTCGGTCTTAGAATACAAGGAATCTGGGAAACCAGATAAAAAGAAAACCATGAAGCCCAGATGCCATGAAACCGGGAAGCCCAGATACACTGCAACCAGGAAACCCAGTTATCTAGAAACCAGGAACCCAGAGACCCTGAAACCAGGAAACTCCGATACCTAGAATTAAGGAAACCCATGTACCTAGAAACTAGGAAGCCCAGATACCCTGAAACTATGAAACCCAGATACCAAGAAACCAGGAAAACCCAAATACCTTGAAACCAGGAAACCCAGATACTGAGAAACCAGGAAACCCAAGTAACTAAAAACTAGAAAGCCCAGATACCTTGAAACTGTGAAAAAACGGGAAAAATGAAAAAAACTGAAACTTTAAAAAGTAGAAACTTTTTTAAAAAAATTAAAGAAAAACCTGCAGATAATTCTAAAAAGAAGGAAGTTAAGAAAAACCACGAGTACAATGACTAGTTAAGATGAAAACCACAAAAACTAAAACGTAAAGTCATAAAATTCATATTTGATTATTCTTACTTGAAAGAAACAAGACTGGTATCTTTGTATAAATCTCATCATAAATAAAGAATGCTAAACCTGAAATATTGAATACTCTGTTGTATTGATATATAAATGAAAATTTCGTGTAAAAATATTGGATTAGTTGTGAGAAAATTCTCAATGTTGTTCTCACCTAGTTGATGTGATCAAATCAACCTTTGTCCTGAGCTATCAGTCAACCCTGCAGGGGGCACAGCTAGGAGGTGCATACAGAGCTGGGAGGGATACAGCTAGGAAGAGTACACGGAGCTAGGGAGAGGTAGATGGATCTAATCGAAGAAAAAAGGGATTTTGGAAGGGTACATTAAAGCTAGTAGATATGTACGGAGCTAGAATGAGCAAGGAGTGGATTTATGAAACTAGGAGTGGTACATTGAGCTAAGTCTAAGAAGGGTACATTGAGCTATTAATAGGAGGGTTATATAGAGCTAGCATGGGTACGTGAAGTTAAGGGGGGTACATGGATCTAGGAGGGGTACAAGGAGCCAGGAGGGGTACAAGGAGCTAGTAGGGTACAATGAACTAGGAGAAGCACAAGGAGCTAGGAGGGGTACATGGGTCTAGGAGGGGTATAAGGAGCCAGGAGGGGTACAAGGAGCTAGTAGGGTACAATGAGCTAGGAGGGGTACAAGGAGCTAGGAGGGGTACAAAGAGCTAGGAGGGGTACAAGGAGCTAGGAGGGTACAAAGTGCTAGGAGGGGTACAAGGAGATAGGAGGGATACAAGGAGCTAAGAGGATAACACGGAGCTAGGAGAGGTACAAGGAGCTAGTAGGGGTACAAGGAGCTAGGAGGATAACACGGAGCTAGGAGTGATACAAGGAGCTAGGAGGGTTACAAGGAGCTAGGAGGGGTACAAGAAGCTAAGATGGGTACACGGAGCTAGGAGGGTACAAGGAGCTAGGAGGGGTACAAGGAGCTATGATGGGTACCACGAGCTAGGAGGGGTACAAGGAGTTAGGAGGGGTACAAGGAGCCAGGAGGGGTACATGGATCTAGGAGGTACAAGGAGCTATGATGGGTACCACGAGCTAGGGGGGTACAAGGAGCTAGGAGGGGTACAAGGAGCTAGGAGTGTACAAGGAGCTAGGAGGGGTACAAGGAGCTAGGAGGGTACAAGGAGCTAGGAGGAGCTAGTAGCGGTACATGGATCTAGGAGGGATAGAAGGAGCTATGATGGGTATAAGGAGTTAGAAGGGATACAAGGAGCTAGGAGGGGTACAAGGAGCTATGATGGGTACCACGAGCTAGGGGGATACAAGTAGCTAGGATGAGCTAGGAGCGGTACATGGATCTAGGAGGGATAGAAGGAGCTATGATGGGTATAAGGAGTAAGAAGGATACAAGGAGCTAGGATGTGTGCATTTAGCTAGGACAGGTACACGGACCTATCATTCTATTAATGGGATTTTTTGTGTTTATTTTCTATCTAACAAATGTTTTGCACTTTGTGGGTTTTAATTCTAAAAAATATAATATAAGATGTTTATACACCTAGTTTTGTTAGATACATAAACAAAAACTTTTAAGTTCACCTCAATCTCAGGAAGGATAACCCAGAAACCACAATATCTTGGTTCACCAAAGAAGTGTACAGCAGGAGGAACATAAACAAACCCCAGACAAAGGAACTGAGTTTTTGCCACAAACTAAAAATTTATAATTCCTATATCTTTACAACCTAATGGTTCAAACCTTTGATATTTCAAACTCTTAAATTATTTGATCCAACATAAATCATAGTTTGAAATATTAGGTCTACAATTATGTGTTTAAAAGTTATAGGGTATAGAAAATCAGAGCTTGTGGCAAAAACTCAATTCCTTACCACTGATTTTATTTGCATTCCTCCCAGAATCTGCGTACACCTTGTTTGTAAACAACTATATGGGGATTTATAAAAAAATAATGCTAAAAATGCGTTTATTTATATATTCAAAGAATACGATTGGAACAAAGATAAGATCTAGAACTCAAAGAATTTTCATGAAAGAAAATCCAACGATTCTGAATTTGTCATCTTATTCATGAAAACAAATTATTAAGGTGTTGATTCTTTGCCACAAGCTCAAATTTTCTAATCCCTATATCTTTGCAACCTAATGTGTAAACCTTTGGTATTTCAAACTTAGATTATTTTATCATAGTTTTTATAATAATTTAATTTGAGTTTGTGGCAAAAACTTAACTAAGTTCCTATAATTCATTTTAGTTATAATTTTGTCGTATGCACGCAATTAACGAAAAGTATACTGGCACGCACGCACATACATGCGCGCACAATTATTTAATCAATATTGCGTGTTTTTAGATAAACTATAGACTCATCTTTCTTTCATTCAATCATTCAAAAATATCCTGAAAAACGTTGTAAGCAGGAAATACAAAATTGGAAGGGAAGGGGGGGGGGGGGGAGGGTAACCTAATTAATGGAGCCGAAACCATTTTTTATGAGGATCCTAAAAACTACTTAACATTCCCTCTCTCACACTGGGACTAAATGAGTTGCAGTCCTAAACTATACCCGGAGCTGGGGTTTGTTTACGGTTAATTGGAAATCAATAGAACCAGACGTTATCAGCTCCAAATCATCAGATTCACGGATATAGAGTGTTCAGATCAATACTTGCAATAATATATTTCAGATTTTGGCACTTTAATGATTAGATACCACTGGTGTTTGGTTCAGCAGTGTATACATATATATATAAATATACAGTTTAACTAGTTAATCGACACTGAATGTAATACAGAGAGAGAAACAGAGTGGAATCATAATGTTTACATAAGTTTTAAAAGTACATAAATATACATAAAATACAATTGGTGCAAAATAGTTCAGCTCATGATGTCTTTTATATCTTTGGTGTTTGGGGCAAAGGAAGGATGAAGGTTGAGATTTTCTGAGGAAATATCAAGATTCAGTTTCAGGTTCTAATTCTTCCAGTGGAAAGACCCATCAAGGTTTCAATACATTCTTCATTTCTAGACTGTAGACCGAGGCAGCCTGCATCCGTGTGCTTGTTGAGTAAACTCATCCTGCTGAAGGATTTCTGACAACCTGGACAAGAATACTTCTTGTTCTCCAGGTGAGTTTGGAGATGTGCTCTCAGGTTGGATTTATCAGCAAACTGTCTGGAGCAATGAGTACAGGAAAATGGTTTCTCTCCGGTGTGAGTTCTCATGTGTCCTTGTAGAAGCCAAGGTCTGGAGAAGGATTTTCCGCACTCTTCACATTTACAAGGAAGGGTGTGTGTTCTGATATGCATCTTAAGAGCAGATTGAGAATTATAATTCTTCTGACAAAATTTACACGAGAAATCTTTTTGTATCTGGTTTGAAGAATGCAGCTGTTGATGTTTGGAGAACCCAGATTGGGTGGAAAAACTCTTCTTACATTCATGACAGTTATAAGATAATTCTTCAGTATTTTCAAGGTTGGGAGAAACTAAAGATCTCTGGACCGGGGCAAAGGCAGGTGTATGCCAGGAGTTAGAAGGTTTAGAAAGATCTGATACAGAAAATGGAGGTCTAGAGGAGAGCTGTAGGTTGGGTTGAACCTCCTGGAGAGGAGCAGGATGCTGAGGAAAATCTACATAGTTATGATAAGAAGGGAGAAAGGAAGATGTGACTGGAAGGTTGGAAGGATCTGAGAGAATTCTTCTGCTAAGCTGAATTTGATCAACACTTGAAGGTTCGGAGTTTACAGTTTCCCGCTTAAAGATCATGCCCGGAGTATTCCAGGGCTGAACAATTCTTGCTTGAGAGATGTGACGGGATGGAGCAACGGGTATGGGAAGAAGACGGGATCCGCCGAGAGAGAGGAGAACCTGAGCAGTTTGAGATGTAACCGGAGAAATGGGTCCATTCTCTTGGTTTTCATCTTCCAGAAAATTTCTTGTGATAGATTTCTTCCAATGTTTCGGAGTTGAAATCCTGGATTCGTCCTTGATGACAAGGGATAGAGGTTCCCTTTGCTCCTCCAGGGAAGAAACACTGCAGGGAGAGAAAGCGGACTGAGACCTAGTACTACCCGGAGATATTGTGGACACATCCTCAGAATCTGAAAAAAACAACGGTTAGGTTCATCTCCTGTATCATTCATATGTTAAACAGGTATATTGGGTGCGAGTGGGAATATTGAGTTGGGACGGGTATATTGAGAGGACAATAGAGAGAGGATGAAACCCGGGTGGGAACCAACAGCTCCGGGTCACACTGCTCCAGGACGGAGCAATCACCGGAACTAACGTGGGAATAAGCAAAGAAAAACTTGTAACCGGCAAGTTGGGATCAAACGATTTCGCACTTGTTTCCTGGCTCATCCAATACCTTGGTCTGAAATGTCACATTAAAAGACAGAATCCTTAACAAAAGAAAATAGAGATATACCAATTCCAAAAAACACAGATCATGGACATTAATTGGACCTGTTATTTTGATTAGGATTATGGCGTAGTAAATCTTCACGAGGCATAAAGATAAAAACCATTAAAACAGGAGAAAAAAACTTGTTAAAGTTACAAATTCTCAGTTGCCTGATTAGTAGGTAAATACTTAGATCGAATCATTTCACGGGGTTTGGTCTCATAGTCAATACATCCGGGTGTTTAAGCATGAAGGACGAGTATAAACAACCAGGGACGGACTAATTATATTTTTACAAGGTTCGATGTAAACTTACCAATTCCACTATCGTGTCCTTCGTCTTGGTGTTCAAACTCAGTCTTTAAGGATTCAAAGTGGAATGAGAACTTCCTGTCTCCAAACAAGGCTCTGTCCTCGTCCCGTTTCACAGTGTCAAAAGGGAAAGGTAATCTTGATGTATCCATGTCTGTGTATAATGCGGAACTAGAAAACATCAGAGTGTACGTCTGCTCAGGTCGGTGTCCAATATTAAACTGAACTTAGCTTAGCTCAGCTCCAGTCCCAGATGACTTGGGAACAGTTGTTGAGTGTCCCGGGCAGGTTCGGAGACGGGAGAGACCGGCGCAGGTCCGGCAAGGACAGACAGTGCTACTTGCACCTGCTGACCCACCACCTGCTCTATACTCCTCATCACGTACACGGAGCAGAGGACCAACCTCTTCAGAAGGGTCCAGGAACAGAGGATAAACCTTTTCATAAGGGTACAGGAGCAGAGGATAAACCTCTTCATAAGGGCCCAGGAACAGAGGATAAACCCCTTCATAAGGGTCCAGGAGCAGAAGATCAACCTGTTCATATAGGTCTGGGAGTAGAGGATAAACCTCTTTATAACGGTCCGGGGGTAGAGGATCAACCTGTTCATTTAGGTCCGGGAGTAGAGGATAAACCTTTCCATAAAGATCCCGGAGTAGAGGATCAACCTCTCCATCAGGATTTTGGAGTTGGGAGGATCAATCTTTCCTTCAGGTACCCGGAGTAAAGGATCAACATAGCCATAAGAAACCCGGAATTGAGGATCTTTCTTTTCGATCCAATTCATCCCAGGGTAAAATAGATAGCCAATATTTAAACGTGTTATATGTAGAATTCCATCTTCCTTGAACACATTTTGGTAATAATGAAACTAAAAAAGAATTTTCCATATATTTAAAACGTTTGTTTTCTTTTCTTAAATTGTAAGATCTAGACCATACCTCTCTCTGTGAACTGGTTTCCTCGTTCCTGGTTTGTTCCTGGATTGTTTTGCACAAATTCTCCCGGAAAAAATTGAATGTGTATTGTTGATGCTTGAAAGAAGGTTTATGATGGGAACTGATTAACTGAGACCCTGAGAACCAGGATTTATTTCAAGGATTTAACACATTTCTCCGTATGCTTAGGAAACACTGGATAACTCTTCGTTGTCTGATTGATACACTTCACATTTTTTATGGAATTTCAAGTAATTTTTTAAACGTAATATTTTGACCAAATTATATTCTAGGTCCGATATGCACATTGTAAAAAATATCCCATCATGCTTTCCATGATAATTAAATTTTTTATCACTGAGATTTAAACAGTGAACGTAAGTCAATTAAGTATATACATAAACGGGTGTCTTAAAAAAGGGTGATTAGGGGAATAGGAGGGTTGGAGCTTGTTATGCTTTAAAAATTTTGAATTTTTTATGCTAGAGGGGGGCCTAGCTTTTTCTTCAGTTTTCAGTCTTGTAATTTGTCAGAGTTGAAGGTGAAAATATTAGAATTATTTTTTACTCTTTTTATAACAGAAACTTAAAACTTTTTGATTCATAAGTGGGCTCCAAAACCCCATTCAATCTTTAATTACATTATATAGTACAGACAAATGTGTAAAATATAAGTGTGAAAAAGAAAAACTTTACTTTTACAATTAAATTGATATCTGATGTGAAAACGTGAGGTTGTAGAATGTACAATGTATTTCAGTAGCAGTTTATCAGGGGCGGGGTCACCTTACTTCTACATTTATCCCAGGAATTAATTAACAAAAAGTATTTTATCCTTTTGGTTTAACTGACTAATTGCATTTCTGGAAGGTGAAACTTCATATACGGTGATCCTAAAAACATACAAAGAAAGGTTCGTGAAAGACAAACGGATTAGTGATGCTGACAGAAAAGATGGTGAAATTATTCAAAATTCAACAAATAACATAATTATTAGAGAATTTCAAACAAAAATTGATGAGCGTTTATACTACCTAAAATTAACTAGAGGATGAGATGTATGATGTATGATGAGAGTAAAGGATTAGAGTGTATTATGAGAGTAAAGGATTAGAGTGTATGATGATAGTAAAGGATTAGAGTGTATGATGAGAGTAAAGCATTAGAGTGTATAATGAGAGTATAGGATTAGAGTGTATGATAAGAGTAAATGATTAGAGTGTATGATGAGAGTAAAGGATTAGTGTGTATGATGAGAGTATAGGATTAGAGTGTATGATGAGAGTAAAGGATTAGAGTGTATGATGAGAGTATAGGATGCCGTATTAAATTCGGCATCATTTGGTATTTTAATCCTAGTCCGATGTTTCTGTAAAAATAAATTGTCAAAAATCGTTTTTCCAAGACACTCTAATATTTTTATTATTGAATATAATTTGTATCTGAAAACTAAAACTTATCAACGTTTGTATTTATTGTTTTTTTTTTATACTACCAAATTTAATTAAACTAAAAAATATATTTAAATTATAAATTCAAGGAAGATACCAAAGGAACCACCATTTCTTTGCATAAAAAATCTGCAATTCTTTGAAACAATAAGAACAAAACGCATTTTGAGTCGCACTGCATTTTTCTATCTGAAAACGCAATAAGAATTTTACTTTATTATTATGTACAAAAAAACAAAGTTCTTGCTAAATAGTCTTAAACCCCCTGAATGACGTTATCAGAATTAAATCCAGTACTATGCAACCTTTTCCTCAAGTAAAAACATATATTCACGAAGTCAATAAATTTAGAATAAAGAACTTGTAACAATCAATGCCAGATATTTAAGCAATCTGCATTATAAACAAAAATACATAAAGTTTAAAAGGTATCGTCTCAGAATACAGAGGGAGAATAGAATGAAACCCAGGATTAATACAACACACTTTCGATGTCTATTCTATTCTTTTTATATTTTCTTGGTTTACTGTTTCCCTTAAGCTAGAAGTTTGCAAGATCTCATTAGCATAGAAACATACAGTTAAAGTGTTTTGCAAATTGGGTATAATGCATAGGAGGGGCTCAAACAGAAGTCTGATCTTATGGAGAAGGAGGGGGGGGGGGATTACTGTGCTCAACTATTTCTCAATTGTTTTCACAATTTAATAGATTTAGGAGGCCGAGGGGGGGGGCACATTTTATAAAACCCCTGACTGCAGAGCTGTTGGGTGTTAAATAAAAACCAGAGCCCAATTTTACTCATGTAAACCCCAGCTGTGTGTTTCTCTCTCCATTTTAACATTTTAACGCATCTAAAATTGACCCTTATAGCTGAACAATATGCTGTAGAAAAAAATCCTGAAGTTGAAAACAAGCAAAAAACTGGAATAGAAAAAACTTCTTCAAAATCAATGATGAACCGATAGTTTCTGTATTAGGTTATCTTATTCAAATACATATCTTATATTCAACAAATCCAACCAGATCCGGACACATTCATTTTCTAAAATCAATTCCAGATTCTGCATAGTTTATAAACGTAAACTTAGTTTGTTTACAAACAAACATTATAAAATGTAAACAAACATACTGAACCTGTCATCCAAACAATGTGTTCACTGACATTGGTTCTAATTCTTAGCATTCAACTTTATTCACAGTTCCTTCAAGATTACCAGTTCATTTCCCCGGTAGTATGTGCGTCCTTCCTTATCCTCCCATCTCCAAACATCTCTCAGATTTTCTTCTCAAATGTCAAAATTCCTCTCCGTTATCTCCAACTTTTTCGGACATTCAATAAAATTTGACATTGTCAATCTTCATTAATTCTCGATGGTTACACAAAGAGACTGTTTAAGTTTCCTGTAAAATCTAGATTTCCCATCCTCTCCTCTTCCCCCGGTTCCGCCCCCTTCCCCGCCCCTCACTTCCTTGCTCCGCCCATCAAATACATGTATCCGTTGTTCAGAACAGTATAAATAGATTTCATGCACTAGTCTATTTGAAGGGTAATCCCCCCCCCCTTCATTACCAAAAAATCGATTTTTGACACAATGTGTGTCAGTGTAAAAAAACATTGATTAAAAATACGTAAAAAAGTATATTATAAAACTAAAACACTAAATTATCTCAATACTGAAGTCGTTCTTCTCTGAAATAAGTGTAAATAACATCTTTTATATTTAAAATCATTGGAATTATAATTCTTTGTTGTCAAGTATCCTGAGCTTATCTATTTGCATGATTAACCTAGCTCTAGTATACACTACACTACATGGAGTAAGGTTGAAGGTTTGATTTCTCTGGTTACCAAGACACCTGAGACTAGCTCGGGTTTATAAGAATATTAAAGGATAACAGGAGTTAAGAACTAAAACTAAGGTTAATATCATGAGACATTGAGTCAATATAAACATCCAACTGAACAGGACTTGCAGGAGATTCAGAAGATTAGGTTTGGAGAAAACAATTAGATACGGTTTTAGTATAAAGCCAAGAAATGAGCGAAAAGAGAGAATTACGAAAAAATCCGGTTCATTTGAAATTGTACAAAATGTAAAGCCACTTCTTGTACCGATATTGTACTTTACCTACCGTTGCCTAGATAACTTGTTTCTTTAAGCAAAAAAGTATAAATAAATGGAGTAAGATAGATAGATAAAGTTTATTGTTAAAATACGTGTATCTGTGTACAAAACGATTTTGCTATTGCAATATGGTGGAAAATAGCTCTTGGCTGTTTGATTATTTTCCCCCCTAATTTCAATAATGATAACAAAACATTTAGAGATCAGGGTGCGATTTTATCTGATGCAAAATAGTTTACACATTTGTTGAATAACTAGATTTTAAAATAAATTTCATGCATGTACAAACAAATATAAAAACATATGAGATTAGTTTTACATGAATCACAATTCGGTTTATAACACACTGTAATGTAAATTTAAAAAGAGAAGGATGAATTAAATGAAAAACATAGTAAAGCTTTCCTTGTTTCTCTTTTATAATAAAAAGAAGGTGGATTATCTATTTGTCTTCACCTAACCTAGAATAGTTTAACCACGGAAGGTTTCTCTTTTTTCACAAAAAACATCCCTTGGGCCATGTAAGGTCCTGAGAAAAGCCCAATTGGGTTGGCAATTTATCCGGAAACCAAAAAATCTATTTACAATTTAGTAAACACACAGTAGAAGGTGGAATGCATAAAGGAACTGAGTTTTTGCCACAAATTCTGATTTCTAAATCGCTATATCTTTGCAACCTGATGGTGTTAACCTTTGATATTTCAAACTATTATT